GGATCCCCTGTGGCTCAGAGCAGGTGGCACTGGTGGCACGGGGGTGTCCCCAAAGGCACGGCATGGTACCAGCCAGCGAGTGGGCACTGGTGGCACTGGTGGCACGGGGGTGTCCCCAAAGGCACGGCATGGTACCAGCCAGCGAGTGCCCTGCCTGTCACCTCCCCCYGTGTCCCCTCCCAGGGGAGGACATTTGGTGACCGTGGCAGGACACRCAGTGCTGGTGGCACCTGTGACGGCAATGCCAGCTGTGCAGGTGACAGCAGCAGGACCCAGTGGGTGACAACACTGTGGCAGTGGGACCCCAGACAAGTGGCAGTGGTGGCACACGAGTGGGAGCAGGAGCAAGCCCTGCTCGGGTGACAGTGGCGGCCTGGGAGTGACGCAGCAGGTGGCACAGTGGTGGCACAGTGGTGGCACAGCAGGTGGCACAGCGTTGTCCCCATGTCCCCAAGCCCCCCGACTGACCAGCTCTGCACCAGCTGCACCGAGGGCGTGCGCAGCACCCGGTCCGGCAGCAGGTTGATCTCCTTCATGATGTTGGACAGGCGCACGGGCAGCTCCTGCCGCAGGAAGGCGAACGACGTCTTCTCGCAGGCATTGCTGGAGCCTGGGGACACGGGGGGACATGAGGGGACACGGGGGGACAGGGAGGGACAGGGAGGGACACGAGGGGGGACGGGGTGAGTCCCCAGAGCCAGCGCTGGTGGCACTGCTGGCCCTGAGCGGGGTGGGACCGGGGGTCGCTGGGCTGGAGGGAGCTTGGGGACACTGCGGGGACACTGCCACCCCTCGGGGGGACATTGCCACCCCTAGGGGGGACACTGCCACCCCTTAGAGGGGACACTGCCACCCCCTGGGGGACACTGTCACTCCTTCGAGGGACATTGCCACCCCTCGGGGGGACACTGTCACCCCCTGGAGGGACATTGCCACCCCCTGGAGGGACACTGCCAGCCCCTGGAGGGACACTGCCACCCACTGCGGGGACACTGCCACCCCCTGGAGGGACACTACCACTCCCTGGAGGGACACTGCCACCCCCTGGAGGGACACTGCCACCTCTTGGGGGGACACTGCCACCCCCTGGGGGACACTGTCACGCCCTGGAGGGACATTGCCACCCCCTGCGGGGACACTGCCACCCCCTGGGGGACACTGTCACCCCCTGGAGGGACATTGCCACCCCCTGCGGGGACACTGCCACCCCCTGGAGGGACATTGCCACACCCTGGAGGTACACTGCCATCCCCTGGAGGGACATTGGCACCCCTCGGGGGGACACTGCCACCCACTGCGGGGACACTGCCACCTCCCGGGGGGACACTGTCACCCACTGCGGGGACACTGCCAGCCCCTGGAGGGACATTGCCACCCCCTGGGGGACATTGCCACCCCCAGGAGGGACATTGCCACCCCTCAGGGGACTCGCCCAGGGGTAGGATTGGATTGGGGGTCGCAGTCGCCCACCCTGGTGCCCAGGCCGGGGGTYCCTCACAGGGGGGATTAATGGGGTGGGTGGTCAGGATTGGGGTCTGACACCCCCTGAAGGGGAATTTGGGRACAGGGGACACCCCCAAAAAGGGTCAGGTAGGAAACACCCCAAATTTATTTATCACTCTCAATAATAACGGGGGATTTGGGGGGCTCGGAGTTACCCACTGAGGGGGGATCAGCCACCAGAACCCCCAGATTTACCCGTTAAGGGGGGAAATTCTCCAAGGGGTGTTTAGGATTTCCCAGGGGGTGTTTAGGATTCCTCAGGGGATGTTTAGGATTTCCCTGGGGGGTATTTAGGATTCCCCAGGGAGGTGTTTAGGATTTCCCAGAGGGATGTTTAGGATTTTCCTGGGGGGTATTTAGGATTCCCCAGGGGGTGTTCAGGATTCCTCAGGGGATGTTTAGGATTTCCCTGGGGGGTATTTAGGATTCCTTAGGGGGTGTTTAGGATTTCCCATGGGGTATTTAGGATTCCCTAGGGGAGTGTGTGAAGGATTCCCCAGGGGAGTGTTTAGGATTCTCCAGGGGGTTGTTTAGGATTCCTTAGGGGGTGTTTAGGATTGCCCAGGGGGTGTTTAGGATTTCCCAGAAAGGTGTTTAGGATTTCCCAAGGGGTATTTAGGATTCCCTAGGGGGGTGTGTTTAGGATTCTCCAGGGGGTTATTTAGGATTCCTCAGGGGCTGTTTAGGATTTCCTCCACGGGGTGTTTAGGATTTCCCAGAAAGGTGTTTAGGATTCCTTAGGGGGTGTTTAGGATTTCCCCGGGGGATGTTCCGGATTTCCTGAGGTGGGTGTTTAGAATTCCTCAGGGGGTGTTTAGGATTTCCTCAGGGGGATATTTAGGATTTCCCAGGGGATGTTTACGATTTCCCGGGGGATGTGTTTAGGATTTCCCGGGATGTGTGAAGGATTTCCCATGTTAAAGGAAGGATTTCCCATATTAAAGGAAGGATTTCCC